CTGGTAACAGTCTCCTCTCTCAGCAGGATGATGCTCGCTGCCACACCGCAAACAGAAATGATTCTAGGAACATGGCAAAGAGTTCCAGGTTTTGATGTGGCCTCCCAGACTCTCTAGATTGTGAAGCAGCGTGGGATCATGGGAGTCGCTGTCTAAACTAAAAGTATTTAAAGTATTTAAATTTTATACACGTTATGCTGAGTCATGTTATTTTGTTCTCATAAATAGCTGTACGTTGGTGTGAGCTAACGCTACGCTAAACGCTAACTCCAACGAACCAGACAGCTGCTGTAGTTTATGTTGTGAGTTCAGTCATGTGTGTTCTGAGCTCAACACTATCATGAGAAAGTAACTGTGATCCTTCAAGAGTGAACAACGCAAAAAACAGAATGAAAGAAACAAGTGAGTGGCTCGTTGGTTTGCCTCTTCCTCTTCCTTCTGCTTCCTGTGACGTTGCCCCCGTGTTCCAGGTAAAGGTTGATATGATCTCGATGTAATGGAATCAAGTAAATACACAACTTAACATATTATATAACACAAGTTTAGTCATTTTTTTTGGCATTTTAATGCAGAAATGCTACATATTATACCTATGAGGTCATCTCCAGGTCTTCAGCGGTCTGTGGAGGCCAGACATTGTCGGGTCGGTGCTGTTTCCGCAGCACAAGGGAGTGGTGTAAGTGGTGTAAACGTGGTGGTTTATCACGTGTTTCCAATGTAAACCATGGTACACTGAAGAAACCGTAGCTCATACTTGGCTTTAAAATTAAAGCTGTGCTACATTATTGTTGTCTTCAAACCTGTATACCTGTAACTAACCCCTGGTTAGGCTCAGTCGACGCTTTTTAGTTGCTCCCCGTTTCACATCCATCTGAGAGAAAGCTGTGAGGCTGCAAGGTGAAGGGAAACCAGACGATGTCTTTCCTCCCACACAAGGAACTTCCTTTGTTTGGTAAGATTCGGGGGAAATTCTGATCTGAGCTTGGGTAAAGCTGATACTATTTTAAGTAAGTAAAATATTGAGAAGTATCCAACTAAAAGTATAACTGAAACTTTTTCTGCTATCAAGCAGACAGTGTAAATGTCACAAGCAGATAGTAAACTGAGTGAAAACAGAGAGGTCTCACTGATTTCCAGCTGCTGCTCTTTGGGGATTAACATGATTGTTGGTGTTAACAGTAAAAGTATCTGTGGCCTCTATTTCAGGCCCTGGATGCTTATGTAGGGTCTGAGGAAGGGGGAGTGGTTTGGATCAGAAACCGTGTCACAGCTTCCCCAATTTATTTTTTTCTTCTTCAATTCATACAGTCTTGGGTTGTTGCTCAAAAGTGTTTTGTAGCTTCTCCTCTCATCTTCTCATCACTGTGAATGCCTAATCCCCCGTACAACAGCAGCGAGGACATTGCAGAAGGGAGGCCACAGGCTATATATTGAAATTTGTGCTGTTAGTTCCTCTGTGCAGTCACAGCTGTGACCACAGGGAGGTGAGATAAAAATGGATTGCAAGTGAAGTGTTTATGCCTGTGCATGTGCTACACCCAGATGCAGTTGTTCCTTCACTGTTTGCACGGTGCACCTACACGTTGTATGTGGGTTAAGGGTTTCAGATGCAGTCACTCTGCATTTCACGCTCTCCAACATCTGTCTGTCATTTCTAACACCTTAAACGTTCTTTACAGACGATTTGGTTTGCATTGCAGAGACGGCAGCCACGATGCAAACGCATGAAAACCATTAACAAAAAACGATCCTGCTGTATTTCACATATACTATGTTTGAGGCCAAATCAGATTTAATTATTTATTTAAGGAGAGTGAGTTTCAAGTATAGTTGATAAAGAGATTAAATAAACAGATTAAATCTTTTTTTTTAAAGTTTCGATGTCAAGTTTTAAGCAGATACAGACAACATCTCACATAAAGATAGCGAGGACAGAACTTTATCTTAAGGGTGAAGATGAGCCAAAGATGATAAAAATGTAAAAAGCTGCACTCCACTGCGTCGGAGTGCTGCTGGTTACACATGCAGCCACAGAAATGAGAAGCTGGTAGGCTCCTAATGGCGTCTTCAGTTAAAAGTTATGCATGATGTCGGTGGTTACTGCAGCCAGAAGCACTGACTCCAAAAATACACACCATTTAAAATTAATAAGATGCACTATAAACGCTCCATCTTAATAATACTGGTTATTTTTTTTAAACAATATATAAGTAAAAAGTGACACATATTGTTAATTCGTGCTTTAATGAAATAATACATGACGATCAAAATCATCCACTATAACACATACATGTCCAAAATAACTGATATGAACACTTCGGCTCAGCTTCTCTCCACATCCTAGTTAAATGAAATGCAGACACACAACCGCTGAAGGACTGTGCAGAATGTTAGAGATTATTGTCAGACCAACCAATTTCTTGCACTTCCTCTTTTTCCTTCCTGCCTGCGCTCTTCAATGCACAGAGTCTTTGCACACTGTGGCGAGCTCGATTCATGCACCCACACCGCTGAGTGCACCGTTCACATCACGCCGTGTTTTTCTGTCTTAAGAGGAATGTTTTACTGTTGTTGTTTTTTTGTTTTTTTTCCCCCCAACTCTCACGTCGCCACAGTGAACTCGCAGGCCTCATGTCGCATTACTTAATCAACAGAGTCCACCTCCAGAGTTTCACAACACGTCTGTTCTCTGTTGGCGGTGAAGCAACTGAAAACCACTGGAGGGCAGTGTGGCTTCACGTTGCACCACAGCCGTTCCCTTTTTTTTTTCTTTTTTTTTTACACATTTCTCCCCTGACTTGTTTTTGGGAATAGCCAAGTGGCTGAATGCATTTTATACACACACAAACACGTGTACACACACATACACACCCGCTCAGTGTTGCGATTTGGACTCCTTTTGGTTCCTCTCTGCCGATGACTGACAGGTTCTTAACGAGAGCAGCCTAGAGCGTTTGCCCTCCAGGCCTGTACATCAACCATCAACATACAACGCACGCACACGCACTCATGCACATGCACGCTCACTCCCATATTTATACGCACACACACACACACGCATACCATCCACACACACACACACACACCCACTCTCCTTCTCTTCTGCAGACATTCTCCGTCCCGTTTCTGAGGCTCAATCAGTTTGTCCATTGCTGAGGGAATGTCTGACAGTCACTGGGAGACGCTTCAGCTTTAGCAGCATTGTTACGTTTCTATGAGGCAGCCTTAACCAACACAGGAGGAACGTCAGCTGCACCATTGTTCAATAAGGTTCAATACAAACACATTACAGCACCGCACAATGGCACTAAGGGCTAGCCGGAGCGCTTGTGCATGGATGTGTGTGTCGGTGTGGAGCTTCTGTGAGGGCCTTCGATGATGAGGTGGCATAGCTGGGAAGGTGAAGATGGAAACCCAGAGCAGCACGTTTTCCCTCCTCCACCCCCCTCCTCAACTCCATCCACCCCTTCATGATTCATCCCTCCTCTCACCTCCGCTACCTCTCTCTCTTTCTCTCTCTCTCTTTTTTTTTTTTTCTGCGGAGGAGAGAAAAGCCAATTAAAATACTATGTGGATGGATACGATGAAGAAAGACATACCTCCTCCATGACATTCCCGCTACCCCCCGTGCAGTGACAGATCTGGTGCATTCAAAAGGAGGTGAAAAAAAAAAAAAAAAAAAAGTGCAGGCGCCCGCCCTCCCGCTGCCATTAAATGTTGATGTATAATATCAAAAATATATGTATACGCCACGTGAAGATGAATGTATAAATCAAAATCTACGGCGGATCCACCACACATGCGTATGTGCGCTATATGTTTGTATGTGGGAGCAAGAGAGAGAGAGAGAGATTCCCATATGCCAAACAAATACCTGATGCAGCAGGAGGTGGAGGATGTATCCATTTTTTACATTTCACACACACACACACACACACACACACACACCAATGGATTCTTGTCTTCCATGTATATCTCTACCCCTCTTCTCTTCCTCCGTTCTTGTTTTCCTCTCTTCCTGACCCAACATCAGGCCCTCCCAAGAGATCCTGCTTACTGCTGCCAGACTGGGCCAGTACAACACACACACACACACACACACACACACCACACACACACACACCGACTGGCTCCGTCTCTCCGTGGACACATGAACTGCCAGTCAATCCAGCAGCAGCCTCAGCACAGACCTCACCGTGTCTGTGTTGTGGGGGTCAGGGGCTGGTGATCTGCCTGAATGTGGGCCCGCACAGAGACAAGACACCGGGGTCAAGGGGCTGCAGGAGTGTGAGGACTCCTCTGTTCAAGCCCACTAAACACTATATGCCGCTCATATTTACCTGCTTCAATATTGCAACAAAGCACCTCAGGGTGGTGTGTGTGTGTGTGTGTGTGTGTGTGTGTGTGTGTGTGTGTGCATCCCCTGCAGAAGGTG